GTTTTTAGAGTTGAATGATTGGTTGTTTGAACTTATTATAAATATTCGGTTTGGTTTAATTCTTGCATCATTTACATATTAGTTGCATTATGACCAATTATGTAATTTCACATTTTATTATGAATATTGATTATGAAACTAATTGCTAATCTCTCTTTTGATATTTGATCTTAGCAGCTTAATCTTTAAGTTTCTAAATATAAATTGGCTAAGTTTTTCAAAACCTTGTGTAAAGTTATTTTAGAGTCTTTTTGATTTAACAAAAAAGGGGAGAAGTGTAAAATGTTTTAAAGGGGGAGAAATGTTATAGTAAGGGGGAGTAATTTCAAACTTGATTTTCAAAATAGTTTTTCAAAGAAAATCTTAAAATTGCTCAAGTGTTTTGTTATATCAAAAAGGGGGAGATTGTTAAATACATTTTGATGTTTCAATATAACAAATTAAGTTAAATGAATTTTAAGATTTTGTAAATGATTTTCTAAAAGTATATTCGATTTAATTACTTGAATACAAGCTATTACTCCAAGTCTTTCAAGATCAATTTTAAACCTTACTAAATGTGTAAATTTATGTTTTATACTTAAACTATTTTTAAACAAATTTTCACAAAGTATTTTGAACCAAAATCAAGCCTAAAATCAATTTTTCAAGGGTATGCACCGATCCATGCATCGATGCATCAATTAATTTCTTGAACATCGAATGTATTTTATGCATCGATACGCATACCATGCATCGATGCATTCAGTGCATTTGATGCATCGATGCACTCAGGCTTTTTCAAAACATCGAATGCATTTTATGCATCGATGCACTCTTAGTGCACCAATGCACTGAGAGTCTAACGGTCAAAATATTTGAATTTTACACTGATGCACTGATGCACCTAGGGCATGCATCGATGCACAGACGCTCCCATCCACTTTCATTAATTATTTTCATACTTAAACGGCTCTATTGACTCCACTAATCATCCCCAACGTTTAGAATCATTTGAAGGTGTATTTAAACAAGCTTAGAAGCCATTGATCAACAACAAGAAACAACAAGCAACTAGAATCAAGAGAGAATCAAAGAGAAAGCATCAAACCTCAAGTTTGAGCATTTCAAGCCTATTTTTCATTCAATATTAATTTTGCTTTCAAGAACACTATTTTTACTCAATTGTATTCATTCTTGAGTGTTCTTTTCTTTGTTCTAGAATTGTGCAAACAATCTACCTTGTGAGGATTTCCTTGTAAGTTTGCAAATTTGTATTGTTCTCTTTGGGAGAGAGTGTTCTTAAGAATTTGGGGTATAATTCTTGAGGGTTTGTAAGGTTATTCTTTGTCCTCAAAAGAAAGACAAATTAGTGAATTTGTGGAAAATCCTTAGTGTGGATAGCTAAGGTAGTGGACGTAGACTTTGGTTGAGAAAGTCGAACCACTCTAAATCGTTGTGCAATTACTTTCAATTTTCTGCAAAAGCTTCCACCAAATTTCTAATTGCCAATTCACCCCCCTCTTGGCCAATTCCGTCAATCGATTAACTCAATACTTTGAAATGCTAGCTTAAATGAATATGTGGATGATTCCTCTCCACAAGGCATGTGATATATCTCCCTTGGAAAATGATGGTACATCTCCCTAAGATCAATTGTAAAAGATAAAGGTGGATTTGGAAAGAGACAGATTGTAAAAGATGAAGTAAAATAAGCACTAGAATGAGAAAGATTGATAATCGTGGACGATAGGCTTCACTGCTTCTCCCTAAAAGGATTTCGATAATTTAGCACTTAAAAGCATACATCGAACTCTCTCTTCAATTGTTTAGTTCATTCTCTCAGCAACACCATTTAATTATGATATTTTAGGTGGAGTCTTTTCGAGTCTGATGCCATAAGACTTACAATATTCTTCGAAAGAACCTCGATACTCTCCTCTATTATCTACTCTCACGCATTTTAACTTTATTCTAGTCTAACGTTCCACCTTGGCATGAAATTCCTTAAATGTCTCAAGCACTTTCTCTTTTAATTTCAACAAGTATACCCAAACTTTTCTTGAGTGGTTATCAATAAAAGTGATAAAATACAAAGAACCACACATTGATTTTCCATTCATTGAACAATCATCCATGTACACCAAATCATGAACATATTTTCTTCTATGTGGTTGATTGTTTCAATAGAATGAAAATATATGTTGCTTTCCAGGTAAGCAATGAATGCATGGTTGAAGTGATTTACCTTTCACCTCAGGTAGAAGCTCTTTTCGAGCAAGGATTTGCAATCCCTTCTCGCTGATGTGCCCCAACCATTTATGCCATAACTCCAAGAACGAGTTACCATAAGCTATATTGGTTTCTTCATTGCATAACTTCCTTGTGTGACATACATGGAACCTTGCTTGTTTCCTCTAGCAACGATCATACTATTTTTGGTGAGTTTTCACTTTCCTCCACCGAAAAGATTTATGTAACCAACGTCGTCTAACTTGCCGGCTAAAATAAGATTGAGGTGCATATCTAGTACATGTCTAACATCTTTTAATACAATTTCACAATCTCTATTGGTTTTTAAAATGACATTGCCAAAACCCACGATCTTACTTGTTTCCTGATTTCCCATTTTCACGGTACCAAAATCATCAATTTGGTATGTTGAGAAAAATTCACCATGTGGGGTTACATGAAATGGTGCTCCCGAGTCAACAATCCATGAGCAATCATCTTGAGCAATGTTGAGATAATTATCTCCTCCAAACAAAAAAAAATCCATCTTCTTCCTTTACGACAACAATGGTTGTGTTATTTTCTTCATTTTTCTTTGGATCACTTTGATCAGATTTGACTGTTCTGTTCTTCTAATCTCTTTTGAGATTTTGGAACTCTAACTTTTTTGATTGGGTTTACCACAGTAATAACAAATTATTTTAGATTGTGATTTAGTTTGCCCTCGAGACTTTTTATAACCTCGAGCCTTACTTCTTCCTCGATTCTCCACCATATTGGCTTCTGTTTAGCTAGGTAAGCCTCATTCTTTCCTGCTAGCTTCTTCATTCATCAAACTATCTAAAATAGTGTCTATGGCGAGCTTTCCTTCTAGAGTTGAGTTACTCAAAGTAACAACGAGAGTGTCCCAACTCTCTAATAAAAAGCTTAGTAACAACAAAACATGTAACTCATCATCAATCTTCATTTCTATCTTGGATAGTTGATTTACAAACCCCTTGAAATTGTTTAGATGTTTTGGCCATCTTTGTACTCCAGTTTGACCAAACATCTCACAAGATGTGCCTTGTTTCGAAGTGTCTTCTTCTGGATCATGGACTCCAATTTAATCCATATTCATAAGCACTAGTGTATGTAGACACATGCTCAAATAAACTTCTATCGATATACTTACGAATCATAACGACTGCCTTTCTTTTTAAAAGCTCCCATTCTTTCTCATTCTTCTATTTGAGCATTGTCTGAACTGTAATTGACTCATATAGATCTTTGCAATAAATAATATCTTCCATCATTGGCTTCAAATATGATAAATTTTCTACCATGAGTTTGAACATATCACCATCATAGGTAGTACTATCCTCCATCATAATAACACAAGATATATGATGGCTATTACAACTTGGCTCTTGATACCACTATTGGGAAAAGATAGGTATATATGAGAATACATCTCTCCCTCTTTGTGTGGTTAAGATAGGCACAAATATAAAACCAATAAGACACGATAATTTGGTTACATGGAAAACCCAAATCGGGAAAATCGCGGGATGCTAGTCTAATGCAAACTTGTCTTCCACTATTATATGAGTAGGAATACAAAATGTCTCGCCCAATAAGGATGGTTTACAAAAATACTCACTCAAAGGTGGCTTACTCTATCTCTCTTTCTCTCTTGGAGGAATTCTCTTATGAATGTGTTTTTCTACAATTCACTCTTTCTTATTTTCACTTGCCTGCTTGCTATATGCTAGCCTTCCCAAAACCTCTTATTTATAGTCGAGAAATGGGGTAACCAAAATACTCATTCATAGATTCTAGATCAATCCACCATAAATGAATGAACTTTGAAATGCTAGCTTAAATAAATATGTGGTTGATTCCTCTCCGCAAGGCATGTGATATATCTCCCTTGGTAAATGATGGTACATCTCCCTAAGATCAATTAAGGAATGATCCACCCAACAAAAGGTGATAACATAGAACTTTTCATTAGTTGATTTTTTGGGTGAATGTGGATTTGGAAAGAGATAGATTGTAAAAGATGAAGTAAAATAAGGTTTTTTTGAAAGTTATATAAAATAAGTTTTTTTAAAAGTTATATAAGTGTTGACATAACATAAAAAAACACGTGTTAAAATATTATTAGTGAGCATAAAGAGGGATAGATATAAGGGTTAGAGGATTTCTATTTATAATTGTATGTTATTTAATATCATAAAAAGATTAATTCATGTTAAAGTGATTTAACAAAGTAGGAGTCTCATATGCATATAACTAATTTTAATTATTGATGAATTGATTAGAATTTAATTTTTATTAGGATTATGACCCTTAAATTACACGAGTTAACTTTTTCAATTATCTCATGGTTAGAAAGGTGAGAGCCACTATCCCTAGATGACTTGTTACGAATTTGAAAGATCAAAATAAAGATTCAAGATTTTCTTTTCACCTGGGGATTCAAATATGATTCTATATATAAAATATTGTTGCTGAAGATTTGACGTTATACATTCTACATTGACTTAGGTATAAAAGTATTTTAGAGGAAAGAAATAGGGATATTAAAAAGAGTTATTTATGTATAATTCGATGATTATAACTTTTATAAATAATGTAACACATTAACATCAATTTCTGTTCCAGGCAAAGCCCAAAGCGTAGAAATAGGCCAAGGCCCTCTGGGAAATTTACCAAATTAACCCGCTGAATTAAACTCGATAGCCATTGACTTAGCTGTAAAAACAAAAAAGGCAATAACCAGAACTGCTCCCTTAACTTATTCGGGAAACGGGTAAGTAAAGGCGGGGGATGCGTAACGGCGTTATTGTTGCATCTCCGTAATATTTTTCCCTTCTTTCTTGTGTTTGTCACTTTGGTCGTGTCTCCTTGTTGAAGACAGGCGTAACGGCGTATTGGACGATGCTTTGAAGTCGCCGAGTTCTAAGCTCAGAAACTTTGATTGAGCTTTGATTGCGCGAGATCTTCAGTTTCCTTTCCGGGGGAAATCACTGCAAAGAAGAGGCTGAAAATATTTAGTATAAATCGAGGAAAACCTAAGCAAAATGAAGATGGCGATGGCTGGTTTGTATAAACGAGTTCTCCCTTCTCCTCCTGCCGTTGACTTCGCTTCCTCCGATGGAAAGGTAAACATTGCTTCTCCACTTTTACCTTTCGGTTATTTTGGGGGTTTTTTTAATCATTTGACAAGATTGTTGTTCGATGCTTTTGTATTTGATTATGATATCCTCATTTTCCTGTTAATGAATCGGCGGAACTTGTATGATGCATTTGTGTTTTTAGTGATTCTATTTTAATATTTTCAGTTGTTGCAATGTATTGGAACTGCAGCAACTTTTCATCGAAGCTATTCAAAACGGGACTATGGAAGGGTTTTATAGGTTGATATCTTACTTTCAGACACAATCAGAGCCAGCTTACTGTGGACTAGCTAGTCTTTCCATGGTCTTGAATGCCCTTGCTATTGACCCTGGCAGAAAATGGAAGGGTAACTTCTAGAACTAAGCGGACATTTCTTTTCAGCTTGTTTCTGCTCTAAAAAGAAGTTTTTTAGATTATTTCAATCATCAAATTATTGTTTATCACCAATAATAAGTGAATGTTTTTGCAATCTAGAGAGGAGGGCAATGGTATTTTCCATGGAATTCTAGGAATTTTAAATTCGCTAAATTTAGTTATGCTAATGATTTTGTAACATATAAGTTCTCTAATACGGTGTCATCCATGAGTTTGTAACGTTCAAATTTTAATGTCGGTGTTATATATATTTGGCCCTATTCACATCTGTACTTTTCTAAACTTTTGATTAGTCTCAACCCTCTCTCCTGTAACGGGTATAGTGTGTCATTGATCTGTTTCATACTTACTTAAAAGTTTTATGCATAAGCGGCAGAATGCATTTTCTGTCACCTAAAAGCATACACCTGTGCAGTTATAAGTTTCTTTTTGTAGGACCCTGGAGGTGGTTTGATGAATCTATGCTCGATTGTTGTGAGCCTTTGGAAAAAGTTAAAGAGAAAGGAATATCATTTGGTAAGCTTGTATGTTTGGCTCATTGTGCTGGAGCAAAAGTTGAAGCTTTCCGCACAAATCAAAGCTCCTTGGATGACTTCCGCAAATTTGTTGTGAGATGTTCCACTTCTGACGAGTGTCATATAATTTCATCCTATCATAGGTCAATTTTTAAACAGGTGAGATTCAATGTTATAGTTTATACGTTATACTAGGTATGTTTTCCTGGTATTTCATTTGTGGTAATGTTATTTAACATAACACTCATCAGTTCATATGCTTGCAGCCCTTGGACGTAATAATGTCGGTCTTCTTTTCGAGACGTATATTTTTTTCATGTTGCAACTTGTCACAATTTGTGTCATGAAGCAAAATTATAAATGATATGGGGAGACAAATTTCATCTTTGTATGAGATCAGCTGACGTGATCATTCTTTTAACATTTTGTATATAGTTACAATTGTCATTGTAAATAATTTGAATCTTATAGCATTTCTTTGGTTAATCATTTATTGACGTGTTTTAAGTCTTCCATTTTGATGTAGTGTGCCATGCTTTTGACCATGCTATTTATTAACCTAGTGCCAATATTAAAATCCAAGTGGATTTGCATCTTGTTTCATCTGCTAAGTGGTGGATAGCATTGACTTTTTTGCAGACGGGCACTGGTCATTTTTCTCCTATTGGTGGTTATCATGCTGGAAGTGACATGGCCCTGATTTTAGATGTTGCTCGATTTAAGTATCCTCCTCATTGGGTTCCTCTGAAACTTCTTTGGGAAGCCATGGAAAATGTTGATGAAGCAACAGGACAACGTAGAGGGTATGCTGTTTTGTCTGCTTTCCAAATTAATTGTCAAATATTAGCTAAACAAAATGATCTTAACAAGAAGCACTTGCTTTTGGTTGGTGGTTAGATAAAGACTGGATATTATTAAGAAATATAATTAAGTAACGTTAAAAAATGGGATACAAAGAAGTGTTACATGCTATATATTCCGAAGAAATGATAATGAGATGCTAAAAACTATAGTGTTGTCCTTTTTACTTTAGTAACATTGGGGATACAAAGAAGTGTTACATGCTGACTATCATCTGGGCTGATTTCTTTTCCAGGTTCTTGCTTATATCCAGACCTCACAGAGATCCGGGCTTACTTTACACCCTGGTATTCTCGTTATCTTGACATCATAAATTGTACCTGCAGGGATGCTGTTATTATGCAAATTCTTCATTCTTTGACAATATATGTTTTCAAACTATCATTCATGCTTCCCCTTGCATTGGCTTTCATCGTGGTGTGGCTGTGGGTCCACTATTGATTTCTTGAATGTTAAGAGTTCATATAACCGGTTTTATTGTTAAGATGCATCTGATACCAATTCGGCAACAAATATTATCACCAAAACCACACCAAGTCCTCTTTCTCATCAACGAACTAGTATACGGTTGACCTTTTTATTTGTGTATTTTTGTTATGCTCTCACAAAGTTTAGTCAGGTATAGTTTCTTGATTTTTGGTTTAGTACAGGTGTTAGCAACATGTGTACAGTTTTATTTGGTACAATTGCATCTGTTCTGGATGGCTGATCCATGTGCTTGGTACTGTTTGTGTGATAGTACCGGAGTGACTTCGTCTCAGATTATTTTTTATATTGCGTTTTTTGAAGCACGCCTAGTCTTATATTATTGCTTAAGGTCATGGCTCAGGTTTGCCCTCTATGATTTAGTATATTTTACGTTGTTACTATCCCTTTTCCGATGATGGATTGTCTGTTCTTTACACAGAGCTGTAAGCATGAAAGTTGGGTCAAAGTTGCAAAGTATTTAATGGATGATGTTCCTAATCTTGTGAAGTCGGATGATGTGAAAGATGTTCAAAAGGTTATCTCAGTTGTTTCCTCATCACTTCCATCAAATTTTGAAGAGTTCATCAAGTGGGTTGCAGAAGTTAGGAGAAGAGAAGATGGTGATCAAAACCTTAGCCTAGAGGAGAAAGGAAGGCTTTCTCTAAAGGTGCTGTAAAACTTCATTCGTTGTTTTTGTTTCCTTTTCCTTTTAGTAATTCGATTCTGTTTGCTATATAGTTCTTTGTAAAGTTTTACACTACAAATTGTTTTATCTTTCCAGGAAGCCGTGTTGAAACAAGTGCAGGAAACTGGTCTTTTTAAACACGTTGTAGAATTTTTATCATCGGTGACTTTATGCTGTAGAAACACACCAGCTTCAAGTCATGAAAATAATCTGCCCGACATTGCTGCAACAGTTTGTTGCCAAGGTGCAGAACTGTTGTCTGGGAAGTTCGGTTCCCCAGAGAGGTATTGCTGTCGTGAAACGAGTATTACAAGCTTGAAGGCTAATGGTGACAAGCCTATTACATTGGTGTCTGGGACAGTTGTAAATGGTAGGTCTGAGCAGGGCGTAGACGTGCTGGTCCCTTCATGCTCGAATAAACTGAACTGTTGTGGCTGTAGCCCAACTAATTGCATTGGGATTTACCCAGCTGGCAACGATGTTCTCACAGCTCTCTTGCTGGCATTGCCTCCTGAAACATGGCATGGTATCAAAGATGAGAAGCTTTTGAGTGAAATGTCGTCTCTTGTCTCGACTGAGAATCTTCCCATTTTGCTCCAGGAAGAGGTAAACAACGTAACATTGGCCTATTTTTGTTCTTTCTACGATAAAATAATAAACAGATATGGTAGTGAAATCAAAGTTTCTGTTCCCGCTGACTTTGTTTTGAGTTCCAAGTGAGGATATGACCAAGTTCAGAGGGAAGATATATATAACTGTGTGTCGGTTACCTTTTGGATGTGTCATGAGATCATTACTCTTCTTTTTTGCTGTGGGATCAATGTCCCTTACCTCTCCAAAGCGTGACAGACACACCTTCAAAATTTTCTAACAAACAACTAAAAGAAATTATGGATCTATCTTTCAAAGATTTCTGACTAGTAGCATATTATGTTGGTATGGCAGGTATTGCACCTACGACGGCAGCTGCATCTTCTGAAGAAATGCCAGGAGAATAAGGTAGATGATGATCTAGGTGAACCTTTATGTTAGCGTATTACACCATCCATTTGTTTTCCGATAGCTTCATATTGTTAACAAAAAAAGAAAGAAGCAAATATTACATTGTCCCGAGAAACCTGAAAAGCTAAGATAGAAGGGTAGACATTAATCAATTTGTAAGAGGCAGGGCAAGGGCTGTTTGTTTTCAGTAAGGAATTACCCCTTTTTTTCCACGCATATAATCGGAAACTCCAGGGATATTGAGATTTCAACATTTTCTGCAAAATCCCTTAACAGTCGCAAAATTAAGGGAGAAGAAAACTGAAAGCATAAATGTTGCTCCCTAAATTACGGGTTTTCTTGTTTTTATAAGAACCCCTAAATGGCACATTTCTTAGGACATCTTTTTCTAAACAAATACAATACCTGATGTTGATTATTTTTACCCCTTGGAACAAAAACACAACTTTTTGAACACTTTTGACATAAAAGAATGTCATTTTATTAATAAATAAAACAATTATATTGATAAATAACTATAACATAATAGCATATATATTTGGTCTCTTACACCTCTTGCAGCCTGAATTCAGTCATCATTTAGTATCGAATACGAACTGGAACATACAAAGGCTTGCAACAAACTATCCAAATTTTATAATCATTTCATAACGTCATTGCAGAGCCACGATACCCTACCATGAGATTATTATAACTTGAACCAAACTTGCCAACACACGAAATAAACTTAAAATCGAAGAAAAGGGTATGGAAGACTTGGGGTAAGTGACATGTAAGCAAAATGGGCTTTATTTCAGACTTTGAATTGTATGCTCAACTGTCGAGAAGCAAAATACCACGAACCATTTTCGTGGGGGAAACAAGTTTATCATTAACAAGATTCAATGGGCTTCATTTATATAAAAAAAAGGTCATAAATGTTGTGAAAGACGACAAGAAACACATATCTTAAAGCATCTTATTTGCTGGCGGCTTTAACTGCTTTTTCAGCGGCATCATCCAAATATTCGGCCGTTATAAGTGTCATTCCACTTTCCTGCGGTCCCATTGGCAATCAACAAGGATATCAAAATGGCATCAATAATTACCGAGATATAGTAAGACGTTTAAGTGCATCTAATTTCCCATTTACCTTCAAAATTCTCTTCCCTTGCTCAACATCGGTACCTTCAAGACGGACCACCACGGGTACTTTTAGGGTAACCTATTACACATGCCAATAAAACTGTCAATGTCTACTCTAGAAGGATTGTAGACATCGAAAACATCAAATTTAATGCAACTCTCACATTTTTGGCAGCATTGACGATCCCACTTGCAATCACATCACATTTCATTATTCCTCCAAATATGTTTACTAAAATTGCTTTCACTTTCTCATCAGAAGTCAATCTTAAACGCCTCAACCACCTATTCCACATTATCTAACAATTAAAAGCAAGCACATATTCTACTTTTTTGGACAAGTAAACAAACAAATACCCTACAGTTGTTGTAGCATAACCTTTCTGAAACCAAATTTTCCATAAAGCTAAAGACCCTATGGCAGACCAGTGATGCCAGAAAAGCAAGAACAACAACAGAAACAACATACATGCTACATGCATGCCCAGAAGTATGATCTTTGTTGGATGAGTAAGATTAATGAACTGTCAATCTACCAGACCCAGATAGTATTCAAAAATAAAAGAACATCATTACCTGGCCTTCAGAAGCATTTCCACCTACATGGAGTTCCCCCATGCAACTTAATTATATCCCTTGTAGCCATTGCTAACCCTGCACCATTCACCATGCAACCGATTTCTCCATCTAAGCCAATGTAATTCAGATCAGCTTTTGGCACCTGCAACCTGTAATAAACAAAAATGCAGAATCAGGGCCACGAGTACAAACATTGGATAATAATGCATCTTATATACTGTTTTTTGAAGACAATCAGGGCCATCAGTTTTGGTCTGTTTTAATACCTAAAGTTTTAATTTCTCAAAACAATACCAAATGTTTAGTTTTGTTTCATCTGAGTATCTCGTCATTAAAAACTTAACGGGTGATTTACACGTTACCTTTTTATGGGTAAATTGCATCATTCATCATTCAACATCTTCTCACTCTTATTTTGGTTACTAAAGTTTTTTTAATTTAATTACTTAACTTTCAGAGTACTCCCAATTTAATTTTTTTAATTATATATTAATGAAATAATAATAAAATATCATGTCATAAAAATTATTAATAAAATAAATGAGTGATAAAAATAAGAGCATTTTGAAAATTGAGTAGTTAATTTTTTAAACTTTAGTATCAAAATAGGAGTGAGAAGTTAGTGAATGATGAATGATGTATTTAACCCACACAAAAACTATAGTGCCGTTAACTTTTTTTAACGGCAATGTATTAAAATGAAATAAAAACTAAGCGTTAAGTATGATTTAAAAAAATTAAAAATTTAGATATTAAAATGGGTTAAAATTAATAATTTAAGTACTAAACGCATAATTTTCGTTAAATTTTAAATTGATTCTCTAACAAAAAAGAAAAACTAAGTGAATTTTGATATATATATATATATATATATTAAATGAATCATTATTTAAAATTTATTATTAAATTGAATTATGAATCAAGTTTTAATAGTTAAGAAATTTGTTGAAATCCTTGAGGTTCTGAAGTCGAGCATTATCTATATTAAAAGTATGAGTGTTTCCTGTTAAATAGTTAAGGGTTTTTAAACAGATGTTGCTTTATATTTACCTATATTTATAAAAAAAAATAGAAAATAGAAAAGATAAAAGAAATAATTTATAATATATTATATAATCTAACGAAATAGATAAAAAATAATAATTGTAAAAATAAAATTTTATTCAACTGGTAACGATTTTGACCGAGTTATCACACAGTAGTTAGACTTATTTTAAAGCCAAAATTTAATACTAATATAATAGAAATATCAAGTAATAAATACTAAATTTTATTTGACTAATCTATAAAATTTTCAACCATGAATATCTCTCCCAAATCATCAGCTTCACTATTTCAGAATGAAAAACCCAACATTCTCTCAAAAAAATTTGGGTTGAAACCTCTCAAATTCACAAAGAAACTTCCCATGATTTTGGGCAAAACTGAATCAATGCATACTACAATTATATAGGCGAACTTCAAACACATTATATTTTCTCAAAAAAGACTACAATATCAATCCGGACGATTATAATCGTCGAGATTCACCAGGAACATCTGGTGTCATGGAAGGCGCAGATGAAACTTTACAGTTATTCTGGCATGTTTGGAATTATAACACATCTTCCACCTCTTGCAGTCTGGTTTTAAACATCATTTCCCACACATTGTCTCAATTCTCAAATACATTAACCGGAACATACAAAGGCTTACAACAAACTAGTAAACTTTTCTAATCTTTTCATAACGTCATTGCGGAGCCCTACAATAGGGTTATTTCAATTTCGATCAATTTTGCAAACACAATTAACTTAAAACCGAAGACAAGGGTGGTCAATAACCGAGGAGTGGATGTAGATGACGTAAGGTCAAGAAGAAAAAAATTTCATTCAATTCAGACTTCGAATTGATAACTATCAATGAGAAAAATATCACAAATATATGAACCACGAGAAATTTCTTTGGAGCTAGCATTATTCCTCAACCCTGTTATTTATCATTAACAAGATTCAAATCCTCTGCGACGATGCGAAACAAGGGCAAGAAACACATACCTTAAAGTTTCTTATTTGCTCGCTGCTTTAACCGCTTTTTCGGCAGCAGCATCCAAATCCTCTGCGTTATAAGTGTCATTCCACTTTCCTGCAGCACCATCGACAATCAACAAGGAAATCAAAATGACATTAATAATTATCAAGATATAGTAAGAAATTTCAATACATCTAATTTCCAATTTACCTTCAAAATTCTCTTCCCTTGCTCAACATTGGTACCTTCAAGACGGACCACCACAGGAACTTTTAGGCAACCTATTACACATGCCCAAAAAATGTCAATGTTCTTTCTAGAAAGGTTTTAGACATCGAAAATGTCAAATTTTATGCAACTCTCACATTTTTGGCAGCATTGACGATCCCACTTGCAATCACGTCACATTTCATTATTCCTCCAAATATGTTCACCAAAATTGCTTTAACTTTCTCATCAGAAGTCAAAATCTTAAACGCCTCAACCACCTGCTCTACATTATCTAACAATTAAAAGCAAAAACATATTCTACATTTTTGGAGAAGTTAACGAATGAGTACTCTACAGTTATTGTAGCATCAGCAGAAACAACATAAAGTCATGTCCAGAAGTATGATCTTTGTAGGATGAGGGTAAGATTAATGAACTATCAATCTACCAGACCCAGAAAGTAAGCAGACAAGAACCAAATACTACAAAAATAAACTGTGAAACTATTCAAAAGTTAAGAACATCATTACCGGCCTTCAGAAGCATTTCCACCTACATCAAGAAAATTAGCAGGAGTTCCCCCATGCAACTTAATTATATCCATTGCTAACCCTGCACCATTCACCATGCAACCAATTTCTCCATCTAAGCCAATGTAATTCAGATCAGCTTTGGCAGCTGCAACCTGTAATAAGCAAAAATGCAGAATCAGGGCCACGAGTACAGAAATCGGATAATCATGTATCTATATACTGTTTTTTTTAGACAATCAAGAATAACCATTTGATAAACATGATAAAGAGAAAAGAAGACTATTACATACTTCTCGGGGATCCTCCTGTGATGGATCACGAAGAGAAAATATCTGCTTCTGACGAAATGCAGCATTATCATCAAAGTTTAACTTTGCATCAGCAGCTACTAATTGATTGCTAGAAGTCTCAGCGAGAGGATTGATCTGTTGACAAAAATAAACAATTCATACAAAGATGAACGTAAGATAAACAGAAATCCATATAAGATGACTGGTAACAAATGTGATAGTCAGAGTAAAATGCAGCCAAAAAAAGAAAGAAAACCATACTCACTTCCAACAATGTGCAATCA